TAACAAATCCGCCATGTTCTTCAACCGGAGCAGGCGGCGTGAAAATGGAAGCAAAATCAGAAAATACAATTTGTTCTTATTAATGACACTTAATATAATATAAGTAGAAAGTCAAACAACTGATAAAATTGAAATACCAGAGGATTTTTACCATGTTTAAATCAGTATTTCCGAAATTTAATAAAGAGTCTTTTAGTCAACGCTTGGAAAAAGTTCCGAAAGAGTTTCACAAATATATGGTAGAGCAACAACGTTTTATCCGTCTTCGTCAGTCAGCCGAAGCAATTCTCAAACGTAAAAAGCCTTTACTTGAAGAAATGGTTTCAAAAGTACATGATCACGAACGTAAAAACATGGATGTGTATGTTTTACAGGATTCAACATTACCGCGTGATCTTGTACTCATCTTCCGCCGCGATAAATCGGGCGCATACAATAATGTCTCATCACCTGAAATTGATCGTCTGCGAACAAAGATTCAACACTGTAAAGAAGAGATTATTAGACTTCAAGAACAAATTTATCCTCGTGGAACTGAAAACGGACTTTCACCCGAAGAGAAATACGATCGAATCCATCCTAAAGGGTACTATAAGAACGAAGCCGCGACTCGACGACCGACGAAATTAGAACATGATATTAATACTACTGAATTCTCAGTTTGGGACAAGCCCGATACTCGAACGCCATTCCAAAAAGGTGATGAACCAGTACTTTCCGATTTAATAAAAGCTGGGGTATATGTATATCCAGTTCGCCCAGTAAACTGGAAAACACCGACCGATGTTGAAACACCACCAGAACGTATTCATGTAACCTACTGTGATCATATTGAAAATACAGAGGAGACTTCAGAATCAGATGAAGGCCGTGAAAACTAATGGTCTTTCCCAAGTTGCTCAATATTTTTTAAATAGAATTAATTAGGCGGTGCCCAGATTCGAACTGGGGGATAAATGATTTGCAGTCATCTGCCTTACCACTTGGCTACACCGCCTTGGTGTGAGAATTGATTATTCTAAAGCCTACTTGAATTGCACAAGATTTTCAATCAAAAAACCCATTCAAAATGGTATCACGTCCCAGAGGCGGCGTACCACTTGGGTCGTACTGGATTTTTTTATGAGCCTTTTTCGCCAAAACTCAGCGTTTCCAAATTTAGTGGAAACGCAACGTAATAGTTTCCGTCGTTTTCTTGAACGTGGCATTGGGGAAGAATTACTCGCAATTTCAAAAATTCATGGGGATCGTGCCCAACGCGTTCATAAACAAAAACTCAAAAAACTTCAAACAACAAAGACCGCACCTACGGAATCTTTTTTAGATAAACGCTTAGCTACCGAAGCCGTAGAACACCGCGACTTTACGATTGAATTTAAAACTGAAGATTACTATTTTAAACTACCAAAACATACACCTGAAAGTGCCGTGGCAAATGTGACGACATATGAAGCCCCATTGATTGTACCAGCAATTATTCGATTCCCACTTTTACGTCTTTCTGCGTATGTACCCGTAAAATTTTGTAATCTTCCATTAATGACAACATCAGGGAATTTTATTATTAACGGATCACCACGTGTAGTTGTGCACCAAATGGTACGCTCGCCTGGTGTGTACTTCAAACGTCAAACGGATGCCAAAAACCGTGATACTTTCATGGTGAGCTTCTTAGCATCCTATGGATCGTGGCTTCGTTTTGAAACAAAACGTGGTCCACGAGTGGATAACATCATGTATGTCAAAATTGATAACTTACGACCACTCCCATTAACACTTTTACTGCAGGCTGTCGGGTTTTCATATGCTGATGTTATTGACGCAGTTTATGACCCATTGCTATTAATGGATACACGTGATGCAGTCGGGTGGGTGAAATCTCGAAATGAGGCACTCATTGTAATGATGAGTTTACTTTTCCCAACCCGTCCAGCAACCGTAAAAGCTGGTAAAAAATTCCTCTATGATACACTTTTTAATCCACGCCGATATAGTTTTAGTAAAGTGGGCCGAAAGCAAGTTAACCGTAAATTACGCTTAACACGTCAAACCGATTATTTAACTTTAACACCAGAAGATCTTTTAGCTGGAGTCGATTGCCTTATTCGTTTAAAAGCAGGGCAAACACATTTATTAGATGATATTGATCATTTAAAAAACCGACGTGTTCGACTCTCCGGTGAATTAATTCAAACGCAATTCCGTATCGGGGTGAATCGTTTAGAACGTGTGGTAAAAACACGCTTAAATGATCCCGCTGTGGCAGGGTCTTTTTTCCGAGACCCAATCGAACAAGCGCTTCTCGCACGCAAAGCAAAAAAACGTCGTGCAATGAAGCAAACAAAAACGGGAAGTCAGCTTACCCGTAAATTACACGCCACAGGGCGCATGAGACACTCAAAAGAAAAGCTGCGCCAAAAAAGTAACGATATTGCTGTAAACTCACGCCATGCTCGATGGACCTCATTTGTCCGTACGTCCGTTATTTCATCTACAATGCGTGAATTTTTTGGTTCAAGCCAATTATCACAATTTATGGACCAAACAAACCCCTTAGCTGAAGTGACACATAAACGTCGTTTAAGTTCACTTGGGCCGGGTGGTTTACACCGTGATCGAGCGGGACTTATTGTACGTGGTATTCACCCAAGTTATTATGGTCGTGTGTGTCCAATTGAAACTCCAGAAGGAAAGAACGCCGGTTTAGTTGGCTCATTAGCCTCGTTTGCCCAAATTAACGAGGATGGTTTTGTAATGGCCCCTTACTATAAAATGCAAAAAGAACAAATCCGACCGAATACCCAAGGATTCTTTTTATTAACCGCCTGTTATGAAGATCAAGCTGTTTTAGCCTCAGGTGATGTCAATTTAGCAAAACCACGTGTTTCAACACGTTTACGCCGTGCCTTTACAGAGCATGCTCCGAAAAAAATTGATTACCTTGGATTATGTCCCATTCAATTTATGTCAATTGCGACTGCGCTCATTCCTTTTTTAGAACATGACGATGCGAACCGTGCGTTAATGGGATCCAATATGCAGCGTCAAGCGGTATCCCTTCTTCGATCGGAACGTGCATTTGTAGGAACTGGGTTAGAAGGTCGTATCACACGTGATTCAGGTAGTTTACTTGTTGCGAAACAAACAGGATATGTGACATATGCAGACGCACAACGCATTGAATACGTCACACCAAAAGATGACCCAACTGGAACACAGTTTAAATTAATTGCACATAGCGTGGAATTAGAATCCTACCACCGTTCAAACCAAGATTCATGTCTTCACCATCGCCCATTAGTCGAAGCAAATACATGGGTTCAAAAGGGAGATTGCTTAGCCGATAACACCGCGACATTCGGTGGTGAGTTAGCTCTTGGTCGAAATATTTTCGTTGGCTATATGCCATGGGAAGGATACAACTTTGAAGATGCTGTCCTTGTAAGTGAACGCTTAGTGTTCGATGATCTCTTCACCTCAATTCATATTGAACGATACGATGTTGAAACAGCCCGTTTACAAGATGGCCAAGAGTACTTTACGCCGGCAGTCGCCAATAGTGAATATTTAGATGAACTTGGAATCGTAAAAGTTGGAACATGGGTTGAATCTGGGGATGTCCTTGTTGGAAAAATTTCGCCACAAAAAGATTCCGAAACAACGCCAGAACAAAAATTACTCCGCGCCATTTTTGGCGGTACACCACGCCAAGTAAAAGAGACATCTTTTTGTGTGTCACATGGAGTGTCTGGCCGAATTTTAGACCGTCGTTTTAACTGTACATCGAAAAAATTTAATGCGAAAGAAGAAGCGAATGCCTTTGAATCCACAGGGGAAGTATTTATTTATTTAGTCCAAAAGCGTCGTTTACAGATTGGTGACAAAGTAGCAGGGCGTCACGGAAATAAAGGAATTGTGTCAAACATTCTTCCACGTGCAGATATGCCATTTGTTCAAAATGGCCAACCTTTAGACATGGTTCTTAACCCATTAGGAGTACCATCACGTATGAACGTGGGTCAAATTTTTGAATGTCTCTTAGGATTAGCAGCCCATACATTAGAGAAAAACTTTAAAGTTGTCCCATTTGATGAAATGCACGGGGATGAAATTTCGCGAGGCTTTGTCTATCAATATTTGTATGAAGCTCGCTTAATGACACAACAAAAATGGTTATTCCGACCAAGTGCACCAGGAAAAACCATTGTCTTTGATGGGCGTACCGGTTCACCATTTGAACAACCTGTCACTGTGGGTTACCCATATATTTTAAAGTTAGTTCACCTTGTAGATGATAAAATCCATGCGCGTTCAACTGGACCATATTCATTAGTGACACAGCAACCTCTTGGAGGCCGTTCAAAACACGGTGGTCAACGTCTTGGAGAAATGGAAGTTTGGGCACTCGAAGGATTTGGAGCAGCCTACACTCTCCAAGAACTATTAACGATTAAATCGGATGATATGAATGGTCGTACTGACGCATTCATGGCTATGATCAGAGGAACGCTTTTACCGAAACCAGGAATCCCAGAATCGTTCAAAGTCCTTGTTTCTGAATTACGCGGGTTATGTCTTGATATGACACTTTCACAAATTCGATAAACCTTATTTTCTACCGCTGTCTTATGAGTACACAATTTATTCAAATTCAATTAGCTTCGCCTAATGAAATTGCCCGTTGGTCACAGCGGTCACTTCCAACAGGGGAAAATATTGGTGAAATTCTCAAAGCGGATACCATTAATTACCGTACGTTTAAACCTGAACGTGGAGGGCTCTTTTGTGAGAAAATTTTTGGGTCCACAGTAAATGGAGAATGCACTTGTGGTAAAACCAAGCGCCGCCAAAACCGCTCAACACCAGTAGATACATCCCCTGAAGACGACCCAACAACTATTCAAGAGGTGAGCGTCCCTAAATCCGTGGTCGAAATTTGTCCATATTGCCAAGTGGAGCCCACAGATGTGAAAGTGCGACGTTACCGAATGGGTCGAATTACATTACGTAAACCCGTGGCCCACATGTGGTATTTCAAAAATACCCCTAACGTATTAGCAAATTTATTGCCGATTAAAGCCAAAACAATTACAGAAGTAATTTATTTCTCGGAATATTCCGCAAGTTTACCAAACGCTATCAATTACTGTGTGCATCCCCATTCTATTTGGGCAGTAAACCAATGGAAGCAACTCTCATCATTTTTTGCAGGGACCCCACAACGATTACTTGATAAACCTGCCCCATGGAATAAAGATCAAATTATCCGACGTGCTGGTTTACAATCAATTGAAAATTGTGGTGCACAAGCAATTGAAACCTTTTTACATAATATTGATCTAGAGTTTTTAGAGCGTGTTTTAACTGCGAAATTTAAATACGAACTCCAAAAGCAAGATGCTCGATCAGTACAAAATGAAATTGACAGCCAAATTGCCGCTGCTGCTGCATTAGCCGTACCCGCTGGTATGGCCTTAGAACAGAAACAACCCACACGTCATCCAGTCGCGACAAATTTCCGCCAAACCGCTGAAGACATTGCAAAACATTCGTACTTTACAAAATTTGATTCCAATATCGAAAAGACTTTTTGGCAAGAGGATGTCACTAAAATGTTAAACCGTCGAGTCGACGTAACAAAATATGACCGTACCTCACAAAAAACTCATGGAATGAGTAGAGAAGTGCGTCAATATTCGAAGCGTCTCCGTTGTATTCGTGGGCTCTTACGAAAAAATATTCGTCCAGAATGGATGATTATTTCTCTCTTCCCAGTATTACCACCGGACTTACGACCAATGATTCAAATGTCAAGTGGACGCTTTGCAGCAGCAGATATGAATGATTTATATCGACGATTAATTTACCGTAAAATTCGCTTCGATAAATTCATCAGTTTATTCGATCCAGAATATTTGCCAGATTTATTAATTCGACATGACCTTGTTCTTTTACAAGAAGCCGTCGATGCAATCATTGACAATGGGCGTCTTGCAAAACCAATGATGCGTGCAAATCGTACACTTTTTAAATCATTAACCGCGGTTATTGAAGGAAAACAAGGACGATTCCGACAAAATTTATTAGGAAAACGTGTGGACTATTCGGGACGTTCTGTAATCGTTGTTGGACCAAAATTACGGTTACACCAATGTGGACTACCACGTGAAATGGCACTTGAATTGTTTCAACCTTTTGTCATTCGTGCATTATTAGCACATGCAGATGTAACCAATATCCGTGCCGCCAAAAATTTAATTCAGCGCCGAACACCGCTCGTTTGGGAAACACTTGAAACGGTGGTGCATGGTCATCCAATTTTACTGAACCGAGCTCCAACCTTACACCGTCTCGGAATTCAAGCCTTTGAACCGATTCTCTTACCTGGCCGTGCAATCCAATTGCACCCACTCGTCTGCCCAGCCTTTAATGCCGATTTTGATGGTGACCAGATGGCTGTGCATATTCCCTTGTCCTTAGAAGCTCAAGCCGAAGCCCGCCTTCTTATGCTCGCAACTCATAACTGGCTGTCGCCAGCAACAGGTGAACCAAGTATCTTACCAAGCCAAGATATGATTCTTGGGTTTTACTACTTAACGGCTGCAAAACCAACAGAAAAAATGACGAAACGTCGTGCACTTCGACAACACCGTAAAAAAGACAAAACAATGAACCAAGGGATTTTCTCAAACTTTGCTCAAGTTTTACAAAGTTTTTCACTTGGAAAAGTTCAGATGCATGACTGGATTTGGGTACGTTGGCATGCGGGTATTCATACAGATAGCCCCGAGCCACTCCAAATGCTTTTGTCCCGTTCTGGCCAGGTGCGTACAGTCTATAAAAACTATATTATGGAACATTCAGCGCTTGAAACCCGAGCAAGCCACCCAACGGATTTTGTGACAGTCCCTGATATGACAACCGCAATTCCAGCGCCAAGTGCTGCAGCACCACACGCGGAATTTTTTATCCGAACAACACCGGGTCGTGTTATTTTTAATAATCTTTTGTATGAAAACCTTTTTTTGTAACCGTACCGTCGATAAAAATGAGATGAAACGTTTAATCAAATGGGTTCTTCTCACTTATGGAACGACAAAAACAACACATCTTGTTGACCAATTAAAAACGATGGGATTCCATTATGCCACAGCAGCCGGAATCTCTCTTGGAATTGATGATTTACGAGTGCCGCCAGTAAAAGCAGCATTTATGGAAAATGCGGAAAATGAAATTTATGAAAATGAAATTCGTTTTAAGCGTGGCCAAAGTACTGCTGTCGAACGTTTAGAAAAAGCACTTGATATTTGGAATACCACAAACGATAGTTTAAAAACTGAAGTAATTGCGCACTTCCGAGAAACAGACATTTTTAACCCCGTGTACATGATGGCATTTTCTGGAGCGCGAGGAAATATTTCACAAGTTCGACAATTAGTAGGAATGCGTGGTCTCATGGCTGACCCCCAAGGTCAAATTATTGAATTTCCAATTCGACGTAATTTCCGTGAAGGACTTACAGTCACAGAATATATGATTTCATGCTACGGAGCCCGTAAAGGACTTGTAGATACGGCACTTCGTACAGCAAGTTCTGGTTATTTAACACGACGTCTTGTCGATGTAGCACAAAGTGTAATTATTCAACAATTAGATTGTGGAACATCAAGTGGACTTCCCGTTAAGCCAAACCCGAAAACAATTGAATCTTCATTAGTCGGGCGTGTCTTAGCCGAACGTATTGTAGATTCCCAAACCGGTAAAATTCTTGGTCAAAAAAACCAAACTATTACACCACGTCTTGCTACAAAATTACAACATCGAGCAAGTGTACGAGTACGGTCCCCACTTACGTGTCACTTTCATTCTGTCTGTCAACTTTGCTATGGATGGAGTCTCGCAGACCAAAAACTGGTACAACTTGGGGATGCAGTAGGTGTTTTAGCAGCACAATCTATTGGTGAACCAGGAACCCAGCTAACCATGCGTACATTCCACACGGGTGGAGTATTCGCAGGAGAGGTAACAGAAAAGGTTTACGCACCACACGCGGGAATCGTTTTTTATAGTGGAAAGCCCCGCGGCCGTAAAGTTAATTCAAGATATGGAGAAACAGCCTTTCTTACGTATCAAAGTCTTAAGTTAAAAATTGTGAATGGGGACCATAAATCAATTCTAGAATTTCCACCCTTAACACTTTTATTCGTAGCACCTGGGCAACCCATTTCCTTTCATCAAACATTAGCCGAAGTATCTCGTGTTGAAACCTTAACTTCGCAAACAACAAAATTAGTAACGGATCAGCATGATGAGAGTGGTACAATTAGTGACCGCTCGAGCAAAGAATTTTTGGCGACGTTGGATGGCCAAATTTATTTTTCGACCCTCCCTGAAAATGTAAAACACACAAAAGCTGCAAAATGGTATAAAGGGCGAGATGTTTTAATGTGGATTCTTGCTGGAACACTTATCAAGCAACCAACAAAAATTGAAGAAATTGAAGAAACCATTGAAAAACGTCCAGGCGATTGTTATACCACTGGATTCTATCCCACAATCAATGCAACGCAAGAAAGACATGTCTTGCAACAAACAAAACAAGAATCAGGACATGCGTTCATTAAACGTAAATATACCACACTTCAAAACACTGAATATTGGGGTCCACGTCAACAACCCAGCGTTGCCCTTATTCAAAAAACAAAAAAGAGTCTTGCTCCGCCAGAATCTTGGATTACACCCACCGTGCAAACAACCCAAGCTAATTTTGGCTTACGCAGTTGGATGCCCAAAAAAGTACGATCAAAGCCAACCAAATACGGCGCGCAATATGAAGGGTTAGTAGCAATGCAGCCTCAACCAGTAAACAATGTTGTCTTCAAAACACTGCATGAACAAAAACAAGTGAGTGAATCGCACGACGCTAATCCAATGCTGACAACACGCACTTCTGGGACCTATGCCACTACGGGTAAAAAGTTAATCTGCCGAAGTTTATACGCACAACAGAAAAAATTTGTATTACAAAAACCGAAGATTAAAACATCGGCTCAATTACGCCCAGCTGCAACCCATTTAAGTTTTCTCCCACCGTTCGAACCTACCCAAACAGCTGCTGCAAAACGTACACTTTTCCCATTTGACCTCCAACGAAAAGCGTCTGCCTATGCGAAAGCGCCGGGAGAAATTCGAGTATCAACACTCATGTTAACGGAAACCGACCAACAAGTCTTTTCAGTAAAAAACAAAAAGGTCTGCGTAAATGTTGGCGATTTTATTCGTGTGGATGATTTACTTACAACAACACACCGTAGCCCAGTCTCGGGACAAATTATTTTCCTAAGTGAAAATTATATTGTAATCCGACATGTGCAACCGTACCCATTACCAAACCGTGTCGTAACCGAATTAAAAGTTAAAGATGGTGATTTAATTAAAAAGAATAGTGTTTTAGGGCGCTTACAATTTGAACAATCGGATGCAGGTGACATTGTCCAAGGTTTACCAAAAATTGATGAATTACTCGAAGCGCGTGAACCAGTCGAGAAACGCTTTTCGGGTATTCACTTTCAATTAGCCTGCTACTGGCGCAAATATTTACGTGTCTATGGACCAACACACGGGTGTACACGAAGCTTCGAACAACTTCGTGCACTCATTGTGAATGAAATTCAAGAAGTATACCAATCCCAAGGTGTATATATTGCCGATAAACACGTTGAAATTATTGTCCGTCAAATGACAACTCGCGTAATTATTCTTCACCCAGGATCAACAGGCTTATTATCGGGTGACATGATTGATATGTACCGAGCGCAGCATTTACGTCTTGTGGATCCACAATTAAAATTCCGACCTGTACTCCTTGGAATTACACGTGCGGCCTTAACAGCAGAAAGTTTTATTTCGGCAGCGAGTTTCCAGGAAACTAAACGTGTGCTTGCAAATGCCGCAATTAATGGTCAAATTGATTGGCTTACAGGATTAAAAGAAAACGTAATTTTAGGACGCTTAATTCCAGCCGGAACAGGTTTATATTAAGCAACAAACCCACGGTGGAGGCTTTTTAAAAAGCCTCCACAATGGCGGAAGTTGGACCACAGATAAAAGGTTGGCTTAGTACTACCCGTAAACAATCCACACTCAATTGTTTTGATAGAATAAGGCAAACGGTTCGTTTGCAATTTGCCTTTGTAAATTAGCTAGAATGTGCTAAAGTAAAGGTACACC